GACGACAAGCCGCCGACCGCCGGTGCTCGTCATGACGCCCGCACAGATGAGTGTCGGGCGAGGGTCGGAGACACCGTATATGCGGACGCACAGTCTGTATTCTTCGCCCGCGGCCTCGCGCTCGTCTTCGCGCCGCCCCCGCCCCCGTTCCCCCTCCGCGCACTCAGCGCAGTCGACTAACTCGAGCAAGGCGCGCGCAACGCATCCGAATTCTACGCCCAACTCAGATAGGGCGCGTCTCCCGGCCGCGAGTGCGAGTAGCGAGCGGATCGCGGAGAGCGGGTCCGAGGTGTCGGTGGAGGAGGAGGTGGAGGTGCGTGTTTCTCCTTTTCTTTAGTGGTGTTATTATTTTTCTCCTTCTCCCTTATCTTTCTTTGGTACGAGGGTACTAACCTCATTCATGCTCCAGCCGTCCTCCCTCATCCCTATCGCGCACCCGCCCGCTGCAGCGTCCAACGCGCAGGGCATCACGTTCTCTTGGGACGATACTTGACTTGCTCGCATCACACGACCTCCGGCGGACAACACCGCGTGGGAAAATTCACGTTGCCGGACGCTAAAATTATTGATGGACTCGTATCACTCGCATGATGCACCCGACCCACTTATATCGCCTACGAAATTACGGACGGACGGATTGGACTCTAAAATCATGGACGAACATATTACGCTATCGTCATCTACGCCCCTCACTCCCTCTTTCACATCTTATCTTATCATGGGCTTAACCCCCACCTACTCCCTACCTCTACCCGGACCTCCCCACGCTACCTATTATTGCTCGCGTACTGCTCACGTCTCCCCACCCCACTCCCTACTCACCTCCTCTTCTTGACCGAGACTCCGACGAACACCTAACGCGCACGGACTCCTATCGTATTCCTATCTGTCCTCCTCCTCCCCGATCGGTACGACGAATTACGAAGAGAGAGGGTATTCCATACACACTCGGGTCCCTCTCTCCCGCCTCACCCTATGTGTACCACATATTTTGGTTGTCATGAGAAAAAAAAACGGGAAATTTAGAATGGAATTCGGGCACCAGGAATCGAACCTGGACCTTTCCCACTCAGCTCTAGAACTTAGAGTGGGGCAGGTGCGCCGGCGTACACCACGCCCGAGTACTCATATTAGTTCGGGGCCTAGATATTGCCGTTTTTTAAGGGAAAGCGATGATCCACACACCACGAGGTTCTCCCTGCCTTCTGCCCGTTTGCATCCATCTCATCCATTTCTGGTGCGCATTGGCAACGTAAGAAACAAAAACGTGGGACAGGCAATCTCGGGCGCCAGGAGTCGAACCTGGATCGCTCCCACTACATTTGTATAGCAGACTACACTTAATGGGAGGGAGCATGGTCCATGCACCATGCCCGAGTGCTCGTATTAGATATCCTACGAAACTTTATGACCCTCAATTGGATTCAATCCCAGTTCATAAAAAATTCAGGCACTCTGCACGCGCCGATTCCGACCCCGACAAGACCGCTGCTCTACTGTCGGAAGCATCAAGGGATGAGCAACGCGGTTGGAAGATTATCGCTGTCTACTACCTCTTGATTCGGAGGCTCCAGAAAGTTCACAGCTGTCGGGGACTTCAAGGCAATCCACAGAAATGAGGATGCGGCGGAAGAGAACAACTGGGCCGAGTGATGCAAACTAGTCATCAGTGGTTGTCCCGCTTCCACCTTCTCTCCCGGTGGTGGCGGCGTCCTGTTTTATTTTTGTTCGTTTCATTCCAATTCCGCGCGCTCTATATACATAGCACACCTCAGGCTCACAGCGCAACGCCCTGTACCAACTCGTGCTGCACCATCCTACTTTGCCCCGCGGACGGGACGACGTGTTCGCCAACTTTTGGCTCGGGGTGGTATTTTCGCTCGCTGCGGATTTGGGTGGATTTCCAAGATGACGACTCGCAGTCGGGCGAAGCAAGCTTCTTTTGCGCGCCGAGAACTAGATATCCACTAGGTTGGCTGGAAAAAACGGCGCATAGATGAGTGTAAAATCCGATTGAGCGTCAGAAAATCTATAATGATAACGCCAGTCTAATTTAGCGGAATCTAGCCAAATTTATGGGAGGTAGTTTTTCGCAATATTCACATTTTCGGGACATCACATACCCCGCAAACGCACGGCGTCGCCGTAGAAAATCAAGCGGGACTAAGGAGCGTCAGCTGCGTCGCTTCCGGCAATGTTCACGCTATTATCTGACGGTGACCAGTCCAGTTCGCACTAAACAGTGTTTTTACAATATTCATACTTTGGGGACACCACATACTCCACAAGAGTTGAAACACACGGGGGGTGGCGAGTCCAGTTCGCACCAATAATAGTCACGTTTTTCGGAATACTGTCATTTTTAGGACGCCGCATACTCCACAAGAGTTGCAACGCACGGCGTCGCCGTAGAAAACCAAACGGGACTAAGGAGCATCAGTTACAATATTCACGCTATTATTTGGCGGTGGCGACTCCAGCTCGCACTAATAATAGTGTTTTTAGCAATGTTCATATTTTCGGAACACCGCATACTCCACAAAAGTTGAAACACGGCGTCGCCGTAGAAAACCGAGCGCGACTAAGGAGCGTCGACTGCGTCGCTTTCGGCAATTTTCACGTTAGCAGCTGTCGGTGATGAACCCAACTCGTACTAATCGGCCTTCTTCCGTTCGGAACCCCGCATACTCCCAATGAGATTTGCAACACACAGCCTCGCCGTAGAAGACCGAGCGGTACTAGGGAGCGTCAGCTGCATTGTTGTCGGCAATTTTCATGTAGTAGCTGTCGGTGGCGAGCCCCGGGATCCACGGCACACTAGTATTTGTGAATATTCAACATGACGTCGAGAATTCAAAAACAGTATAAAAGCCTGACAGTATCTGCAGACAATCCAGTGCGATCCAGTCGACAAGCGTAATCATGTTCAGCGTTAAATCCCTCCTCTTCTTCACCACCGCAGCGACCCTTCTGTCCAGCGTAGCCGGCCAGTCCTGGGAAGTCATGGTTTACGAGCCCAGCGCGGGCGGCACTAGCTCGTGCAGCGGCGGCGGCACGACCATCTCTGGTGGAACCTCGGACATCGGTAACTGCCGCGAAGTCGGTCTGGGCAGCAATGCGGCCAGCTTCAACATAATCTCGGACAATGGCCCACCCGGCGCTGAATTCGTTTGTAAGTGCCAGAGATTTACTAGAAAGTACATGGCTGACACCCATCGACAGTTAATCTGTTTTCCGACAAGTACGTCTGAAAATGACTTTGGCTGGAGAAGGAGGACTGATTTTCGATTGGTTATATAGTAACTGCCAGAACAACCTCGGCGAGCAGTTGGGTCTGGGCGCCTGCTTCTCCGGTTCCGTTGGTACGTCCTAGAGTCCATTGATATTGTATTCAATCCTCACCGGAGCATGGCAATTTTCAGGTTCGTTCGTCCCGGTGACTGTGCCCACCTAGTCTCTCGTAGACAGACCATGATGATACAAGTATGTGTATATGTGTATGCAGTTCCCACCGTGTAGTTGCAGTGAATAAGTACGAAGAATTCCTGGTACCGTTTTAGGTTCCAGGTCTCCCTCCGTTAATTTGACGTCCTCAATATGGACCATACAACACAACTCCCATCCAAACGATACAAGATACCACAACCCAATTTAATGAAACACGATTTATATCCCCATGCTATAATTCAGCATCCAGGCCAGTTCAACGCGGAGATGCATGTTAAATTGTTGGTTCGTGCAAACGACGACCCGGCAGTCGAAATCAAGCGCTCCCTGCTTCTCTCCTTCCTTGACTCAGACGTGCTACATACTCTACGCGAACTTCCTAAAGATGTGCCACTGACTGTCCACTGCTCCTCAAGCTTCCTAGGCAAGGTGCTTGTGTCTAATCGTATAGATAACGAAAATGACCCGCTGAAACTAATTGCCCCCGGTGTAAACTATCAACTGATAAAGTCCGTTGTATGTAAATCTCTATTAAGTTTGCTTAAGCAATTCACGCTTCAATGCCAATCAGTGTTCAAGTATTGTTCTGTTCAACACAAGAATGGGAGGGAGTGGTCAGCTGCGGGGATAAACAATGTTGAACACTGTTTTAACAAGATTCAGTGACCCGTTTAAACAAATAGTAAACAATGATTGAACAGGGATGAACGCTGTTCGAACGGTTTGCCAAAAAGCACAGTCGAGTGTGAGGTTCGAGCTCAATACCTGCTGTTGATGGAAAGGGGCATAAGGGCCGAGCATTAACCACTCCACCATAAAGCTAACACGGTGGAATGCCACCGTAACCTGGATACACTGATCACAGTCCTTATCATCTGATGTTTTTTTGTGCCTTCATTGTTCCATCTCTAGTCTATGTGCTTCTTCTTTGCAGGAGAAGCACCAAGAGCTGTCCTGGGAAGTTCCAAGAGGTGACCTGGATACATTTTAAGGCATCCGTTACCAACCTAATGATGTAACAGTACAAAAGACCTGTTTAATTGATTGTAGGTCAATTTCTTGTGATTTGTCCTAGTGGCTTGTTCTACTAATAATCTTCAGCCAAATGAGAGTTAAATTAATAGACCATGCTCTAAAACAGGCAATGTTCTAACATACCAGATTAAATAATGAGCAGTACTACTGTCATTCCAAATACCAACTCATCAACTTGAATGAAACTGGAGCCATTTCTTATGCTTAGTTCAATCTTGTGGGTTTGACCTATTTTTGCATTGAGAGGGAAATGTTGAATGGGTGTTAGTGTTGATAGAAGGCTTCAGACACTTGCTGCTCAACATGTGTTGGACTTGCGTGAGCCATACATCGATTTTGATAGTAGGCAATGCAGACAAATTGTGGTTATCTGTTGCTAATTATTGCAGTGCCATTGATATTTCCTGAGATGACAAACCCTTTCTGGGCCACACGGACGAAATAGTAATCTGTAGACAGCATGGTGAGAGGCGGAAAAAAAAACGAATCAGAGTTGAAAAAATGAGAATTAAGACCCATTCCGAATCGGGGAATCGAACCCCGGGCTGCCGCGAACCTAATTACTGAAGCCAGTAGCTTACGTAATACACTGAGAGGCGGCAATGTTAACCCCTACACCAATTCGGAGATATAAACAATACCAGGAAGAGGAGCTGGATAGGAAGTCGTGAAATCCACGCGAAAACATGAAAGGTTGAATTTTGGTTGAAATTTGATTCCAAAGTTAGTTCGTCAACTTCCAAGGTCACTCGTCCCTATATTAGGGGAAGGCGGCAATATGTTGACCCCTACATCAATTCGGAGATATTTGAAGGCAGAGAAAGAGGATAGTAAATAGGCAGTCGTGAAATACGCGTGAAAACGTGACAGGTTGAATTTGGGTTGAATTTTTTATTTACAAATTGTGTCAGTCACCCCTTGAGAATACAGCCGTTGTATAGGGATATTACTAAGTTGCATACAGTGTTTAAGTGCTACATGGAATACGTTTGGAAGTTGAAATCCCGACGTTTTTGAACGACGATCAGCAGGATGATGGGATTTGTCAGTTTTGATGGCGGCGGCGGAATTTAAATTACATTATCGACACGTTTATTTCTTGCCCTGACACCGGGGGCAAAGGTCAGTGCACCCGGAAGGTAGGTGCGTTAAGCGTACTTACTCGGCACCCAGTAAGTCAGCTGACAAAGGGACTTAGGGCAGACAAAGGTGGGCTTTGTCGGGCCCCCGCGAGCCGACAAAGCCCCCCTTTGTCTGCCCTCAGCTGCGTTACTTGATGCGGACCAAGTGCGTTTAACGCACCCGGTTTTCAAGTGCCTTGGTATCTTCCCCCAGTGTGAGGGTTCAAGCATGGCGGGGCCGTTGCAGAAGAAATTCCAAGGTCTGCCGAAAGATTAAATTAGTATGTTCGGCAACAAAGGGTACCACAGGAAAAATGCTAAAGTCCGACCTGCTAAATTTACAAACTGATGTTTAAATGGTCGCAGCTTCCCCAGATCGTGTACAGTGTTTTTTTTTAGTTGTAGTACGGTGCTATCTCAGACCTTGTTTGTTTGAACATGTTTCGACTCCATCACCCGTTGCCAAAGCCCTCAACATACAGCAGTACACTGGGCCCCCACGCATCACGTCCATAAACCGCGCAAGTCCACCTCTAATGGAATGGCACACGCTCTGTGCAAGCTGTTGTCCCGCCCTCCGGGCACCCCTGGTACACTTCTACACAGGACCCAAACCTGTACATCTACACCATTCACTATTCAAATGTTTCGGTGTTGGTCCTTGTCGGCTGTAGCAAGTTCAGGAAATTAATCAACTGGACCACCCGCCTCGTGCTGCTCGTCGCCGACAGGTGGTCGGCACTCAAAGTCCAACTAGATTCATTGAGGAAATCGAGCAGGGCACGCAAGAGATAGGGTCGAATGACGGAGGACACGAAGGCGAGGTGGGTTGCAACACTGCCTCCGTTGGATATCGGAGTGATCGCAGTCCGCATGCTGGCGGCACATGCTGCACCAGATGAAATTGCATTCGATCATTCAGGATTGTACACACAAATTACCAACAGTTGGTTAACGGTTGGTTATTGCATATGGCAGTAACGAACGCCCGCATCAGTGTCAAACACCAAATGAAATTCATGCTATGTGGCTCCAACTCTCGCTGAATAAATGCCGAGTCCGACTACAGTATGCGGCCAGCTATTGATGTCCACCCTTGCTTTCCCCCCCACAAGCATTGCACGGACCGTGCCAAGTGACAGCGCATGGTTGGCTGCGTGTGAACTAGATGGAGGGGCTTGAAGCGCAAGGTTTTGCAATTCAGTGGACGGCAAAGAATTTGCATCGCACATTTCAAGCACAGGACCATTTGGGATCACTATCGCATTGTAACTTCTCTGACTATTCATGAGATGTAGCTTAAATACATTCCGGTGTTGGTTGAGACGTATGTTGCAATCGTGGATACTTGGTTTAATTGGGAGATGTGGGGCGAACAGAAGGCGATCGTGGTTAGGTATAATACAAACACTTGATTAGTGTGGAATGTGACGGGGTTGGTATGATTGTAATGGTGTGTGGTTAATGGTGTATGGAGTACCGGTACAGGTATAGATCGGCGTACAGGTACCAGGGGTGCCTGGAGGGCGATATGAATACGTCGGTGCCAAATATTTGGGATGGAGGCGATTACGAAAAGACAAAAATGGATATATATACGTCAGAGACGATTCTCACTGATGCAACCCATGGGGGAAAAGTCCGGCTACCAACCAACCAACCGGGCGCCAGGAGTCGAACCTGGGTTTTTCCCATTCGATTTTATGTGGGAGTGTGTTCCGGAAACCACCCCCGAGCACTCATATGAGATATCCACCGAATTTCGCAGCGCTGGAATGTTGCACGCCAATGAAAAATTAAGTCCTCGGAGCAGAGAGATACTGTCCTTAGTTGTCTCCTTTCGAAAGCATCAAGGGGATGTTGTCTCCGTCTCGCAGATCTTTCCTGCTGGTTCCCCAAAAGAAAAAGAAAGTTCGAAAGCAATAGTATCCCGGCCGCCAGGAGTCGAACCTAGGTCTCTTCCAGTTATTCACTATACAATGCAAACCTAGTGAAAGGAAGGTGTTCCGTACACCATGCCTGAGGTACCAGCTTACTTTGGAACCTGGGTAACCTTCACTGAAGTGGCACCTGCTAGTAGACATTCATTCAACTAGTCGCCAGAAACCGAGACTCCGATTTCATGGATTCTCTTGCCTCCTCAGACAAAATTGGATATGCGTGTGAGCGGATCGCACAGGGGAAAAAAGTGCGGAAACCACCAATTCGGGCGCCAGGAGTCGAACCTGGGTCTCTTCCACTCATGAGTGTCTGGCTTAGACGAAGAAGAGGGGAGGGTGTTTTGTACACCACGTCCGAGTTTATGTGCACCTTTTCCAGCTTGTTATATCACACCCAACTTGGTGTGTAGGGAATGAAAGGGAAAAAAATGCAGGTTTGAATGGAAGCTGAGGTTATTCTCTCCCTCTCAATTGTTAGATACACAGGGCAGAAGAGGGGAGGGTGGGCCATACACCGCCGGGTACTCGATTTATTTTGGAGCCTCCCTCGAATGGGCGGCTTCAGAAAAAAAAAAATTCATGCGTTACGAATCATCCCGGGTACCAGGAATCGAACCTGGATGGCTCCCACTACATTTAGAATCAGGCAGCACATAAGAGGAGGGAGAATGTTCCACGCACCACGCCCGAGGTACAACCTCTTGACTTAGTGCTAGCTGACGCTACGAGAGCTTGCTCCGGCTAGCATAAGCGTAAGATAAGGTAAACGACAAGATGGAGGACGGACTGGCTCTTTGGGGATATGACTTGTGACCTCGGTCACAAGTCACATCTTTTCTTGTGCTCGCGACATCCACTTCGCCGCGGTCGGCCTCGTCTCGCACGCGGTTTTTCGACCCCACCCACCATCCCTTGGTGGAGCTCCTTTCTGTTTGAGCTCTTTTGATTACGCTTGGTATTTCTCGGGCTTCATCTTCATCTCCCGAAGTGCCTGGGAGTGCCTTGTGTACGAGATTGACCTCGCGATCCAGAGCCAGCCTCCCTCGCTCAGCTTCCATGCTGCCGACTGAGTGCTTCCTGTTCTGGATCGGGCTTTCGGGCTTCTCGCCCGACGGTAGCGTCAATCTCTTCACAAAACCAATAACTCTCCCAATTTTTGACATACTCGTCAGATTCGCTCTGACTTACCTACATCTCTGTCCATTCGTATGTTTGCTTACAGTCTTGTATTTATCCAGTGTCCTCTCAACTAGTCTACCTTATGTGCGTAAATATCCTACGAAGAGGAGGATATAACTTGAAGTATCCCATAGTGGTCCTGATGAACGTACGGGGGACATTGTATCTGAAACTCTCACTGCCCGAAGAGGTATGTAATCTCTGATCAACTGTTTCCTCTAGTATTGTAAATACCCAGCAGAATTGGCAGTGGTCAGAATCAGAAACAAAAGAAACTTCCCAACAAATTCCGGGCGCCGGGAATCGAACCTGGGTCTCTCCCACTCATAACTTACGTTGGGCGCAAATGAGGGGAGGGTGTTGCGTACATCACGCCCGAGTAATCGAGTAATTGGGAACCTGGATATCCTGCCCAGTTTTACTGCTGTCCTCGGGATCAGAAAAAGAAAAGCAATCGGTTGAAGGCGACATCCCGGGCGCCAGGAGTCGAACCTGGGTCTCCAACTCATAACTTACGCTAGGTGCAAATGAGGGGAGGGTGTTGCGTACACCACGCCCGAGTACTGGGGTAATTAGGAACCTGGATATCCTGCCCAGTTTTCTGCTGTCCTCGGGATCAGAAAAAAAAAGCAGGTGCCCCGCACAACATTCCGCACGCCAGGAGTCGAACCTGGGTTTTTCCCACTCGATTAGAAACTCAAAAGAGGAGGGAGCGTGTTCCGTACACCATGCCCGCGGTATTCCATTACTTTGGAGCGATGTTGGAGTGGGGCGAGCGGGTCCAAGGCACCGGGAGGGCGCAGGGAGCAGCGGCACGGGTGGTGCGTGGAGGTCGCGGTCAAGGATGCATGATCTACACTACGACACTGATGCCTAACACGACCACACAGGCCCTCGGCCCGATCCCGTCTCTGAGGACCAGTCCCACTGGTCCAATGTCCCACCAAATTTCACAACCTCTCGACTGGCCTCCGTCATAAAATAAAATAAAATAAAACTCAATACCCACGGATGTACTCAGTGCAATTGTTTCCTCTAGTATTGTAAATGCCCGGCAGAATTGGCAGTGGTCAGAATCAGAAACAAAAGAAAAATAATTTCGCTCCCCAAATTCCGAGCGCCGGGAGTCGAACCCGGGTCTCTCCCACTCATGACTTACGTTGGGAGCAAATGAGGGGAGGGTGTTCCGTACACCACGCCCGAGTACTGGAGTAATCGGGAACCTGGATATCCTGCCCAGGTTTACTGTTGTCCTCGGGATCAGAAAAAAAAAAGCATCCGGTTGAAGACGACATCCCGGGCGCCAGGAGTCGAACCTGGGTTTCTCCCACTCGATCAAGCGAAAGAGTATCTCGAGGAGATGGGAGCGTGTTCCGTACACCATGCCTGCGGTATTCTATTACTTTGGAGCTTGGATATACCACCAAATTTTACAACCTCTGGACTGGTCTCCGTCGTAAAATAAAAAATCTCAATACCCAGAGAGGTAATCTCGGTGTAATTGCTTCCTCTAGTATTGTAGATGCCCGGCAGTACTGGTAGTACTCAGAATCAGAAACAAAAGAAGTTTCTCTCCACAAATTCCGGGCGCCGGGAGTCGAACCCGGGTCTCTCCCACTCATAACTTACACTGGGTGCAAATGAGGGGAGGGTGTTCCGTACACCACACCCGAGTAATCGAGTAATTGGAAACCTTGATATCCTGCCCAGTTTTTCTGCTGTCTTAGGGATCGGGGGAAAAAAAACATGGGCCACTCATAATATTCCTCCGGCAACTAATCGCTAAATCGCTCGCTCGGCGCTTCGCGCCTCCATCGCTCCCCAGTTTTTCTGCTGTCTTAGGGATCGGGGAAAAAAAACATGGGTCACTCATAACATTCCGGGCGCCAGGAGTCGAGCCTGGGCCTCTCCCACTCGATTAAGTGAAAGAATATAAAGAGGAGGGAGCGTGTTCCGTACACTACGCCCGAGTGCTCGTTGTACTTTGGGGGATGATTATCCTACCGATTTTTTGGTGGAAGAGAGTTCGAAAGACAAAATATATTAGTACAAGGCTGCATATGAAGTAACAATGAATTAAACAATAAAGCTCGCAGAGGAATTGCCGGTGAAGCAACGGTAATTGGGTGCAAAGGACAAACAAGGGAACGCAACTCGGACAGTGTCCGAACGAGCGGGGGACGCTGAAGATTGTGCCAGCGTAAGTTTATGGAGACTCCATACGCGGCCTCGAGGTGCAGGCGCAGGCAGACCTAGTCCAGTTCCGCGGATGTGTTTGGGATGTCGTGGATTGCATATATCTCGAACCCAGGATCAGTGAAGAATGAACAGGCAAAAGGGAGAGGTAGAACCCTGGACATTCGAACAAAGACCAGAACAAAAACAGTTATCCAGCTCCTGGCATTTCTTATCCACCACGAGGCCCTAATACACCTCGTACGCTCCAGGGGTCTCTCTGTCCCATGGCTGTCGTGGATTCCAGGGCCTTCCACAGAAACGAGGATGTGGCGGAAGACATGAACCGGCCCGGGTGATGCGATTAGTCATCATTGGCTGTCCCTTCTCTCCCTCCTTCCTCGACAGTGAATCCATGGTCCTGAAGGTTCTGGCTGTGGCCTGGTCGTATTTCCCTTCAGAATACACGTACCATATTGTCGCTGCCATTGTCCTTGTCCTTGCCGCCCGGGGCATCTCCCAGGGCCGCGTAACAACGAGAGAAAGAGATCTCCACGCCCGGGTCATTCTGCTCACCGTGTGTACCAGAATCCACGCTGAATCCCCGAAAGCTGACGTGCAGTTAATGCCAGGGCGCCTTCTCACCCATCGGGTTAACCCTCCTCGAATCGCTGGCCCAGCGGGGCGCGCATGTCATCGCGCTCTCGCCATACCCCGTCGACTCGGAGCAGGTCAAAACGTACGTCGAGCTACTGCGGTCCACGACGTCAAACGAGCAGATATATGCGGAGCAGTGCGATCTCGCGTCCCCAACCTCGATACAAGCGTTCTGCAAGCGCTTCATGTCCGGCCAGGAGCAGCGGCTCGACGCCCTTTTATTCACGCACGAGTACCGCCACGTCGGCGCGCTCAACTTTCTGTCCCGCCGTGCGGCAGCTGACGATGCGGACGCACGAGAAACTGCGTCGCTCGCGACGTTCCTCCTGACGACCCTCCTCCTCCCCGCCCTCCTCACCGCGCCAGCGGAGCGCGACATCCGCATCATCAACGTCGTCAACCGCTTCTACGCCGCCGCCGCCGGGCCCGCCTTCTCCGTCGCCACCCCGCCCCCCTCCAAATCCACATCCACGTTCCTGCGCGAGGGCGCGCGCGCGCTCCGCACAGTCGTGCTGACGCGCCACCTGCAGCGCATCCTCGACGCGCTCCCCAGTGCGCAAGTGCCCAAGACGGACGACGGCGCGGTGCCCGTCGTCAGTCTTAATGCGCAAAAATCCAACATCGTCGCGGTGACGGTGTCCCCCGGCATCAGCCGCGTCGAGACCGTCGCGCCGTTGCTCAACGCAGACTGGGCCACGCCGCAATCCCACTCTTCTCCCTTCGGAATCGTGCTGTACGCGCATTTCTTCTGCTTCTTTTCGATGTCGGCGCTGTGCTCACCCGTGTTGCGTGCTTCATAGGTACCTGCTACTGTACCCCCTCCTTATGCTGTTCACCAAGTCGTCCGGGGCTGCGATCCAGTCGGTCCTGCACGTGTTGTTCCTGCCGACGCCGTTCAAGGTGCTCTCGCAGGCCGCGGGGCCCAACAAAACTACGAATGCAAAAGACAAGGCGGGGGCGGATGCGGAGCCGGAGGAGGTGCTCAAGCCCGGCGCGCTGTACGCCGAGTGCGCGGTCGTGAGGCTGCAGGTGAAGCTCCCGCAGGCGGAGATTGATGCGGACGTGAAGAGCGCGGAGGATGCAGAGAAGAAGAACGCTGCCAGTGGAGATGCACAGAAGAAGAAACGGGAGGAGGTGCTGGAGGTGCCGGACGACGGGGAGCTGGGCGGGGAGTTGGCTGGGCGGCTGGTGTGGGAGTGGTACGAGGCTGCGTTGAAGGTGTGGGAGGGAGCGCATCCGGCGACGATGGAGAGTGGCGAGGGCGAGGGTGCAGCTGCTGTTGGTGAAAGTGTGAGTCCGGCTGCTACGGGTACGTCGTAACGAGTCCCTAGGTTGAGTAGCGAGACAGATTAGGTTAAACAAATTGGATAATTTATTCCGACCTACAATTGAGGAAGAAGACAAAGGATAGATCGACTCTGTTCGGATACGTAGGGTTTGACCACCACTGAAGTTGTTGAATGCATTCGACTTGGCAAATCATAGAGAGAAAAAAACTGTCAACGGCGAAAAAAGCGAGGCTAAATCCAGGACATTGGAGCTGAGAGAAAGGCTCGGTAGCGCGTGGTGCGCATCTGCGTTGAATAAAGATGCACTGTGTTCTGAAACCAAGCAGACAACTGCCTGTTCGACTCAGGCCCGAGCCATAGATGATTGGTGCGTTGTTTTTTTTGGCCGCCAAGTCAGCCAAAATGCTCAGGGTATTCAACCGTATTGGACCTGTAGGAAAGGCTCGGTAGCGCGTGGTGCGCGTCTGCATTCGATGCACAAGTTCTTGAAGTCCTATACAAGCAGAGAATGTGCCTATTCGACTCAGGCCCGAGCCGTAGGTCATGATTGTGGCGAAAAAGATTTTTGGCGTAATTGAGCCAAAATGCGAGGATAAATCCAGGATACCGGAGCTGGTAGAAAGGCTCGGTAGCGCGTGGTGCGCATCTGCGTTCGATATAAATAAAAGTCCAATGCAAGCAGACTAAGCCTGTTCGACTCAGGCCCGAGCCGTGAGGCTTCTTCTCATTGATTTTTTAGCTGTCAACAGGGGGAAATTGCGAGGATAAATTTAGGGTGTTGAAGCGGAGAGAAAGGCTCGGTAGCGCGTTTGCATTCGATGTAAAATTGAAAATTCATATACATGCAGAGAATATGCCTGTTCGACTGAGGCCCGAGCCATAAGTTATGGCCAGCTTCTTTTTGAGGGTCAATTGAGAGCATAAATGTTAAATTAGAACGACGTACAAGGATGAAGAGGGAGGCTTGGTAGCGCGTGGTGTTGGACTGCGAACGATATACAATATCGTATCTTGGGTGCAAGCAGAGGAATGTCTGTTCGACTCAGACCCGAGCCATGTCAGTCCATTCTAGATCTTTTGTGTCAACAGAATAAATTTAGGATATTGGAGCTGAGAGGAAGGCTCGGTAGCGCGTGGCGCGCGTCTGTATTCGATGTAAAATTCTGGAGTGCATCTGCGTTCCCTGAGATCACCTGCATGGAATACAGGCATATTGTGCCCGTTCGAATCAGGCTCGAGTCATATACAAGTTACGGCTTATTTTTGCGCTGTAATTTTTCACGTGAAAAGGTGAGAAAGAGCCGTACGCAGGAGTGCAGCGAGATTCCGTAAGTGGGAATTTTAAAGACTAACATTAACGTGAAGAAGTGAGCAAGTAGAGTGCAGACTGATTGGGAGTCAACGTTAACTAGTCAACGACAGTTTCCCCCCCCTTGACCAAACCAAAATTCCACAATGATTCGAAGGTATTAGATCTGAGAAGACGACCCGGTAGCACATGGTACGGAACGCAGACCCGCGCGCGCCTGCGTTCAAATGGACGAGGCGATGTCATGTAAGCAGATCATATCACAGCCTGTTCGAATTCAAGCCCGAGCCATAATTGGTGGGAATGTTTTTGCTGCCGCAATAAGATAAAATGCGAGGATGGATTGGAGATACTGGAATTGATAGGAACGCTCGGTAGTAATGTTGCCGCGACTTCCGACTTGGCCCTCCGAAGTCGACTTGGGAAGTCGGATTGAGTCGAGTCAAGCCGAGTCGTTTGATGACTCCGCTGCGACTTCGAAGTCAATGGAAGTTGACTCAAGTCGACTTGAGTGACTTGAGTCGGTGGTTTTTCGTGAATGTTTCTTTTCGCGAATAATAATGATTGGAGTTGATTTCAAAAATTTTCTCTCAACCATTGTTACAGCCGTTTCATAAATAGTATACGGGTTTTGATCGAGTGGTGCTCGCTCGTTTTTGTTTACCTCTGATTGACGCTGAGTCTCCCTCGGCTATGTCATAGCCCCACCACACGGTGTTGTGACTCCACTTCAACTCCAACGTACCCAACACATAGGTGCGCCATTCAACATGGTTTTCACTATTCTTTACTCTCTGCTTTGAACTCAACATATCGGAGATGTTCTTCATATTGCCTCGAGCCATGAGTGCCAGTAGTAGAGTAAAGTCCCATGCGTCACGTAGTGCGTGGTGGAGCCAGGTGGAGCCAACAGACTCACCGTCAATCAGAGGTAAACAAAAACGAGCGAGCACCACTCGATCAAAACCCGTATATTATTTATGAAACGGCTGTACGAGTGTGACAAAATGTGACATATGTGACTATAGCGTGACGCTCGTGTCACCGTTGCTTTATTTCGCATTTCTATCCAGTTTCTGAATAGAATTAAAGCCAGAAAAATACCAGGAAAAGATTTTATGCTATATGAAAAGCTATAAATGCACCTGACCTGCGTAATCACAATGGGTACTCTGTCTGACCACGAAATAAATTATTAAATGCTATTTTATCTATTTCATGTAAACTTTCGTTAAGTTCAAAA